CATCTATCCATTTCAGTTCCTGGACTCTCCAGAGTGGGATTCCCTCAGACCTTCAGAAGAAGGGGTTTTTCAGGTGAATAAATTGTGTTTTTGTGTTCGTACTGTAAACTTTATAATGGAACAAATTCTGGTATTTTCCCCAGGTTACGTTACGTGCAGATAACCGGTGCAGGTACGTGGCGTGGAGACGAAAGAAACTCTATCTGCTGTTCGCGCAGCACCGCTACATCGCCAAGATCTTCGCGCTGCTGGTGCGCAATGACATCGCGGAGAAACTCTTCTCTCTCAACGAAAAGGCTTTCGACACCCGCGGGTTCCGCTACGATCTCCGGTTACCAAGCTTCTGTCACGGACCAGAGCCAGAAATAGAAAACACAAGTGAATCCCGGCCAGTGCTGGGACCGAGTAAAACCAAACCGGCAGAAAGAGACTCGTGAGAAACGCACGATCCAATTTTCTGTAGTCTTACTGATGGTAATTAATGGTCTTGTTTTTTTTGTTTTTTTTTTTTTGCCATGCAATGTTTTATTCTCTTATATTGGATACGCTTTAAGTTTTCCCCAAACATTTGTGTCTTTGTTTTATGTAATTGCAATGACCTCCTGAAATCAGTGTTTTTTTTTTCAGCCATGCAATTTTGCAACAGGAGAATCACATAATTATGCAGAAGATGAAGTGGTTTTCAGTATGATACTTATTAAACAGTCGTTTCTCTGTATATCTAGCATAGCCTATGTTTGTGGAAACGTTTGAATGAATAAATGAGAGGTTAACTCAGTACACTCTAAAAAATGCTGGGTTAAATACAACCCAGTGCTTGGTAAAATAGGGACAAACCCAGCAATTGGGCTGTTTTGACCCAGCAATTGGGTTAAATGTTTAACCTAACCTTCTGGGTAGTAACCCAACTGCTGGGTCAAAACAACCTAATTGCTGGGTTTGTCCCTATTTTACCCAGCACTGGGTTGTATTTAACCCAGCATTTTTTAGAGTGTAGCTACTGAATCAAGCTCTCACATAAAGACATAAAGATAGTTTCATCTCGCCTATATGAAACAGAATACTGTCAACCTGAAACATTACCCATATGTGTGTAGTTTGTGTGCTTTAGGCTACACAAGAACTAATTGTTCACACATCATTTTGAAAAATCAATCAACCCATCGTTATAGAGTCACAGAATCAAACGAGGGGGCATGGCAATCATTTCAGAAATGAGGGGGACATTATAAGACCTGTTTTTCTGCCAGGCTTAGTTGTTAAATTTTCTCTCCTCTTTTGTCAAGATTGTACTTTTGAATATTTGTATTGTCCTATGCTTATTTGTGTTTTGAGTAAACAGAAACCAGTGTTTTTCCAACCATGCAGTTCTCATTTGGCAAAGCTGTGAGTGTGATACATGAGTAGGCCTAACTACAACCTTATTTACAATCAAAACTTGAACCAGTGCACAACATAGGCTATCCCTCCAGACTTCCCATCTAAGAGCCTCAACACTGACTTTTAGTTTTAACATTTACACATAGGCTATACACTCTAAAAAATGCTGGGTTAAATATAACCCAGCGCTGCACTGTAAAAAATGATTGTGATTTTAACAGTAAAAGACTTTAAAAATGCTACAGCAAAAACCTGTTAACTGGTTAACAGTAAGTTTCCATACTATATTCGGTGAATAAATGTAATTACCCTATTGGCCCGAATATAAGACGACCCTGATTATAAGACGACCCCCCTTTTTCCAGATGTACCTTTTGGTAAAAGGCTTTTTAAAAACCAAATCTTGTTTTTTCTCAGTAAAACACATTTTGTCTTCAATTATTTTCATATTGCATATTTTTCCTATTTTAACTTTTGTTTTGAAAGTATGGTAAAAACTGGTAAAATGTACCAACAATCACATTTAAAAAATATACACTTTTTGATATACCATTAAACAAAACAAAACATGAATTAGGACATTTAGGAAAAAAACATTGTCTTATATTCGGGTCAATACGGTACATTTAATGTGATTCTACAGTAAAATACTGTTAAAAAAACGGTTTTTGGAAGTGAAAAAGAAAAAGTCATTGTGTAATTTACAGTGAAAAACCGTAAATTAACACTCCCAGAATTCCCTGCATGACACTTCATATTTCATGTTTTTTTGTTGAAATAACATGTTTCTTTTTAGTTTTTTTCTTATCAGTTGTGTACACTAGGGTTTAATCTTACATCTAATGTTGTTAAATTAATGTTTATTGCATTATTTCAGTATCATGTGTGTCACCATGATGGGGTTTAGTGTTTGTGTGAATGACACTGCAACTTCTTTATATAAGTATTGTCCTCCTCAGCTCGCAGACAGGCTGTTTGTGATGAGCTTTAGTTCATCATGTGACTTTCTCATCACCACCAGTTTTTGGTGTTTATCAGTGCATTACAATGGTTCAAAAGAGTGTAGCCTACAATTTTGGCTGATGAAATAGACAACATATTTGCCAGATGAAAATTGATCTAAGGGCGCTCTTGCTTAATTTATTTTGATTACAATCAAGGGTGTGTGGTGGTTAGTGTACCTCCGTGTCAACAAAACAAACAGACGCCTTATGATCATGCATGTCTCCCTCTAGTGGAGGAGTCGCTTAAGTAGACAGAGGAGTGGCCGATTGGTTTGTGCCCTTTTTAAGTCAATGCCTGTCGTCTGGCTGGAATGCGCTCCTCTCACACTGCAGCTCTCAGCTCGGCTATAGCAGTCTTATGTTCTGTCTTAACATTCCTCCAGACCGCGCACATTAGAGCTTGCATCGACAGCACCGGTAAGTAGACAGTGTTTTAATTAATAGGCCGTAATAAAGTATTTTAAAATAACCTCTTTTAATTAAGCATTATGCAATATTAACACGAAGCACAAGAGATAGATCATAATGTTGTGTTATAGAAGGTTTATTGGAGGTCATTTGTGGCTTGCAAATGTCCCCGAAAGTTTTTTGCGCATTTTCTGTTTCTGACTTCTGATAGTAAGATATGTTTACGTTGCGCTGACTGACATTCAGCCTACAACATTTATATCCAGGTAGACTATTCATGTAAAAGGAATGCTTGAAATTCAGATTTATTAGAAATGAATCAATCATTTGACACGAAGCGTACACCCTTGAAATAAAGGCAGCGTCTCTTCTGTAAAGAACCATTCTGGCGTCTGCTTTGCTTTGTTTATGAATGTAGCGCTTCTAACAGTTTACTTTCTGGCCATCTCCCCATCAGCTTGAAAACTTCAGAATGTCAGACTCCTTAAACTACACAACATCTCCACTGCCCTCCAGTGTTCCATCAGTCGCTGGAGATTCAAACGCCACATTATGCCAGGACTGGGAGCAGTCCCATCACCTGCTGTTCCACCTGGCCAACCTGAGCCTTGGTCTAGGTTTTCTCATCCCCTCCACAATAGCGCTTCATATGATCTTCCTCAGACTGCTGCTGATGACAGGTACAGACAGCCACTCTTATGGTGGTCAACAGAATAGCGATGCGCATGCATTTGTTTGGCTGACAATGAATGCTAGTTAAAACGTAGGCTAGTTATCTTAACATAGTTAAACTATCATGAAGATTAAAATGGTCGTACATATCAATTGAAATAATCGGCCTATAAGAAGTTTAGAAGGTATGATTGAACTATAGTTTTAATTCCATAAAGTTTGTTGCAGTCAATTCCCTTTCAGTTGTTGAGCTGAGATATTAACAGATTAATGTGCGTCTTTAAATGTAGGCTAATTAAAAAAAAAAGAAAAAAAGTCAGACCTAATATAAGATGAGGTATTAAAACGAATACCTTTTTGGTAATTGAAATAACATTGAAATAAAATATTAATATTGTATTATAAAACTTGAATGAAAATCAGAAATGTCTTGGCAACTAAATGAAATAAAAAAGTTGATTTTGGTGTGCTATTAATTAAAACTACAACTGAAAGAAACATTTACGGAGCCCCTACAGGGACATTGCGGTGGAAAAACAATCAGATTGAGTGAAAAAATTTGGGGTGGGAGGAAAAAATATTTTTCAGATTTTTTGCGTTCTCTCGCAAAACTTTTGCGTTCCCTCGAGAAACTTTGCGTTCTCTCGCAAAGATATTTGCGTTCCCTCGCAAAACATTTGCGTTCTCTCGCAAAACCAGTTGAGATCGGACAAACACTTGTTTACTTTACAGATTGTAGTGGTTCATACAGCTCCATACGCTCACAGTGGAGCAGTTCATAGAGTTTTGTTTTGAACTTGGACGAAATAGTCAGTGCATGCTTATCAAGGCAAGGGTTTGGGACATTCTAAAACGCTTAATGTAAACCACTGGATTACTAAATTCAGTGCATACCTTATTAATAAAGCATACAGACAATCAGAATAGCCCAGAATATGAACGTACACTCTTAAAAATAAAGGTGCTTCACGATGCCATAGAAGAACCTTTTTTTCCTAAATGGTTCCATAAAGAACCTTTCTGATTCACAAAAGGTTCTTTGTGGCGAAAGAAGGTTCTTCAGATTATAAAAAGGTAAGAAAGAGATGGTTCTTTAAAGAACCTATGACTGACTGGTTCTTTGTGGAACCAAAAGTGGTTCTTCTATGGCATCGCTTGAAGAACCTTTTGAAGCACCTTTATTTTTAAGAGTGTAACCCGGTAAATTGAATTGCACTTTAAGAGTATCCCTCATAGAAAGAAAATGCTTAATTAATGGACCAAGATAGTGGTATAAAAAGGCCAAATTCGGCATACAGTTTATTAATAAATTATACATGAAAGCAGGTAAGAACAGAAGCGTTTTCCTCCCATAACGAAAATGCGGCTTAATGAAGACGGTGATAAAAAAAGACCAAATATGCTATAGAACTTATTAAAAATATATTCTGTGTACATGCAAGCAGATGAGCCTAGAATGAAGCGTTTCTTCCCCATAGAAAACCTCGCTTAACGTGGTTTAATATAAGAAGACAGTGATATAAAAAGCCCAAATTTTATATTTTATTAAAAATATTTACATACGTATTTAAAAATATAATACAATCAACGCAGTAATCCATTAAGCCAGTGGTTCTCAAATCTGTTACAATGGCGTACCCCTAGGGCATTTAGCCTAACATTCTTCTGAGTACCCCCACTTAGACCGCAATTAATATAATAAATAAAGCAATAAATGATGGCAAAACGAAGTTACACTTGTAGATTCAAAACTAAAATCGCCAGTACGTGGCGGCAAGTCACTGTCTAATGAGCAAGGCGAAGCATTCATTCATTCAGTAACGAAGCAAATGGTTGTAGTTATGAAAGGGTTATTTTGTGCATTTTTACTGTTATAGAGGCAGAGTTTTTCTAGCCTTATTAATTGTAGCTATGTCATATTTTATATCATATTCTTCACATTTCATTAAGTGTATTATTAATATAATAAATAAAGCAATAAATGATGGCAAAACGAAGTGAAACTTGTAGATTTAAAACTAAAATCGCCAGTAGGTGACGGCAAGTCACTGTCTTAATGAGCATCGCGTCATTCATTCATTCAATCATTCATATAAAATCAATGTCACATTTGCAGTCTTTTGGATATTGAGGGAAAATTGCAGTCTCGTAGGTTTCAGAGCGAAATAAGTACGTAACAGTGTTCACTTTATAAACTGTCTAATAATCTTTTATATGATTTAATCTTCAAACTGTTAGCACTTTGTAATTTCAAATTATGCCCTATTGTAAGTGACGGAGTATTTTATGTTTCAGCGATTTGATCGCGCCGGCGCCTCATGTGCACATATTCATTGCAAACGGCCTGTTCATTATTAAAATAAAACATAGAATCACCAATACAGATAAAATGTTACACAGTCAATTTAAATAATCTGTATTATAGCCTGTGCCGTACAGCGTGAGCCCCGGTCCACTCCAGTGCGGCACATTTTTGTTCATTATGATTTTTTTCCCTTCGATATTGGAACGTGCAAAGCCCAGTTAATTTAATTTAATAAATAATGGTTTAGCTTCAAATACATTGCAAATATGGAAACATTTGGATTTGTGCTGAATGACTCCGTAAAAAAATAAAGATATAAAACGAATAAAAGAACGTAGCAAAATTACTAAAAACTTAAAATCTGAAGATATAAAAATGAAAGCTATTATGTATCAAATATATCAAAATATTAATAAATACTATAATAATTTATAAATAATACTAAAATAACACTAATGAATCTATGATTTGAATGAATTTAACAATTTTAATGTTTCAAAGTATTTTGCAACCTCAAGTAACAAATTATCAAAACCATTCAAATACCAGAATGACAAAAGTGTCTGAAATGACCTACCACTGAGCTGCTAGATTAGATTTATTATTATTATTATTGTTTTAATCACATTAAAAAGATAATAATAAAAGTAGTGACAAGATGGTCTATATCAGCTCTAATTTAATATAATAGGGAAGTCTGTGCAGAATATTTTGAAAGTCTAAAGGGGTGTCACAATACAAAATAAGATTGTTTTTATGCACAATTCAAATATTTAATTTGGATTAAGATTAGTGCTGTCAAACGATTAATCGCATCCAAAATAAAGGTTTTTGTTTGCATAATATATGTGTGTGTTCTGTGTATATTTATTATGTATATATAAATACACACACATACAGTATATATTTTGAAAATATTTGCATGTATTTACATGTCTATATTTATATTCATATAATTTAGATTATAAATAAATATATTTAATATATAAAAATAAATTTTTTCTGAAATATATACATGCATGTGTGTGTATTTATAGATACTTAATAAATATACACAGTACATACATATACTATGTAAACAAAATCTTTTATTTTGGATGCGATTAATCGCGATTAATCGGTTGACAGCACTAATTAAGATTCATATGCACTTTTAAGAAGCAAACAAAAAAACTACTTTAATCGCTTTTTATGCAGAGGGACCGCTAGCCTCGTGGTTAGTGCGCAAATAGATAGTGCAACTATGCTAGCGGCGACCTGAGTTCGATTCCCGTCTCGAGGTCCTTTGCCGAACCTGCCTTTCTCTCCACCCAATGCTTTCCTGTTTGCCCTCTTCTGCTCTATCCAATAAAGGCATGAAATGCCCATAAATGTAACTTAAAATGTTTTTTTTTCATGTTGTATTGATTCATAACATTGCTCAGCTTTGTTGGATTTTAAATGCTTATCTTTATTGGATTTCAGGGTGCTGTTTGTTTATAGCATGGGCCACATTATATAGATGCACATTGGATGTGATGGTGTGGAATGTGGTTTTCCTTCTGGTGAACTTCATGCATTTCTTCTTCCTGCTTTATAAACGCAGACCGGTGAGTACAGCCACCAAAGAGCAAGCTACATATTATTGATAGAGTGTTTGTATGTCCATTGCTGAGAGATGCTTAAACTGCATCCAGGTAAACAGAAGTCAAATACCATGATTTTTTATTATTGAGAAAAGAGCTTTTGCTGTTATCATCTTTCTCTGTCTTTAGCCAGGTTTCCATCCAAGGATTTTTTTTGCGAAAAAAAATTTAGCGCTGCAAAATTTTTACCGATATAGCTGATGGAAATGCCATTTATGGATAAAATTTCTCATGTGTGGACACAATCTTTTTCCATTTAACTTTAGCGCATAAATTCTATATTGATACTTCAAATGTCGCAAAAATTGGTTTGGAAACACTTTTTGTCGAGAAAAGGGGCTTTAACGCAAATAAATGTGGTGTCACATGACAGAATTAGCCTATAGGCAGCATCCGTGTTCGTGGTGTTGCTCACGCTAAAACACCGTTTCTCTGTAGTTCAAAAGCGCATTAAATCACAGTCATATTATTGTTTCTAAAATAATTTTATATATGGTAAGAAAAAGACGAGTTTCCTCTCAAACATACATATCTTAATTTAATGTTGCTTTATACGTTGCAAATTAAAAATTATTCATTTTGTTCTGAAGATGAAAGTTGTCGAGTTAGTAAGGCATAACTGCGTGCATGAAGCGCAGGCACAATCACTTGATTTTTTTTTTTCCTTATAAAAGTGGAAACAACTTACAATACTCGTTCATTTGTGGTCATATGAATAAGACATTATTCGAAACTATTCTAATTATTTCTTTTATTTGTGTACATCCACAATAAAAACAAACACTGTGCTTTTGTAAAATAAAGGAAACAAACAGGATGCAGCTTTTTCAAGAGCGCATCACAAAAATGAACCGAAATTCTGCATATAGGCTGCTACTTGTTCGACAGTTTTTTTTCTTTCGTTTTGTTAATTTATGAATTATTTAGAAAAATATATTTTGCATATAGGCCTATTTATTTCTTTTATAGATAGCTTTATTATGTTTTTCTCCATTTGCAGAAGCCCAGCAGGTGCGCTACCATGTGAATCCTCACGTTCTGTTATTTATGCTGCTTTTTGCGTGTATAAAATTAATCCCTGGAAAACAAATGTAGGTATTTTTAATGGGTCACTGCCACGTATCAATTGAAATTTAATTTAATTGTAATTTATCATAATCTTGTCGGTTAACAGTTAATAATGGCTTAACGACCGTCGGTTAGAAGAAATAAAATAACCGAAATGAACATTCCTATTTCCAATACAGTCTAATAAAAGTTAATCAGAAAAGTAATAATAATACAACTGCACCTGCTTATGAATATTGCTTGATGATCAAGTGTGTTGATGTTATAAACTAAATTGTCTATAACAAAGTACAAAAAAAAACCTCATGAAACTTGTTAATAAAAATAATTTTATGTAGGCTTATACAATTTAATAATAGGCTATATAATAAAGTTTTTTGTTTCAAATGGATGATAGAACAGGCTACTAGCCTATATAATTTGCGCAATAGGTGAAATTATGTATGAAAACAGCTCAAGGCAATTATTTTTTTGTGATACACCAAAACTTATGCGACAATTCATTTTTTTAGGGATGACGTCATCACGCACAGCATTTTATCGGTAAAAGGCCAGTTGGATGGAAATAGGCTGGACACAGCAGTTTTTTTTTTTTTACGCATATTCTCTTTGTCAATAACAAAACAGGCAAAAACTGGATGGAAACTTGGCTTTTATGTCTTCATGAGTGGGAATTGTAGTTTCTGTACAGTGGCTAGTAGTGATGGTCACGTTGCCTTTGAATGAATTCTGATTCAGAATTCACTTTCCTATTGTGCTAAATTCAATATTCCTGTTTGGTTATGTTGTTTAATTCCAGATTAAGATTGACAGGGAGCTAAAATCATTGTACAAGCGCATGTTCGAGCCCCTGCATGTACGTGAAGCTCTGTTTCAGAGGCTCACCGGCCAGTTTTGCACCATCCAAACCTTAAAGAAGAGCCAGGCCTATGCAGCAGAAGATAAGACCTCTGTTGATGAGCGCCTCAGCATTCTTCTCAAAGGAAAGTAGGTGCTTCACTTCACTAAGAGTCCATATTTACTTTCTAGCTCTCCTGTCATATGTGCATTGTTTTTGAATTCTCTGACCAAATGTGTGCATTTGACAGGATGAAGGTATCGTACCGTGGCCATTTCTTGCATAATATTTACACCAATGCTTTCATCGACTCTCCAGAATTCAGATCGACTCAGATGAACAGGGGTGAGAGGTTTCAGGTAATGTTTAAAGTGTATTATTTAAACATATCCATTGAATAGTTTTAATGGTGAAAAATCAAAATATAACATCAACATTGTCATTTCTGGATCCTGATACTGTTATAAAACATTTTATATAAAACAGGGGTGCACAACTACCTTCCTTCAGAGTTCAGTTCCAACCCTGATCAAACACACCTGTCTGTAATTATCAAGTGCTCCTTCAGATCCTAATTAGTTGGTTCAGTTGTGTTTGATCAGGGTTGGAGCTGAACTCTGCAGGAAGGTAGATCTCCAGGAACAGGGTTGGGCACCCCTGATATTGTCACGGTGCACACACACGAGGAACACGGGAACGAAGGAGCGAGGAGACACGGAGTAGAATAAATCAACAGGGTTTTATTAACAAAGGCTGGGGATCACAGGACTCGACACATCAGGATGACAGGATGACGTTCAACGACTGACCAAGGACAAGAACTAGAACACACTTTAAATACACAGGAACTGATGAGGGGAAGACAAGGGACACCTGGAACTAATAAGACAATCAACATAGGAAACACCTGGGAACAATGAATTCAAAACACGAGACAGAGAAACTGGAAGACGGAGCACATAGGGAGCAAAGACACACACAAAACCTGGCCCAGAGTCTGACAGATATAAAACATATAAAAAATATTTTTTTACTATACTCTTTACATATTTATAATAATGTCACACTTTATTTTAAAGGGGTCATTGGATGCTACATGCACTTTTACAAGTTGTTTGAAATGAAATGTGTGACCCTATAATGATAAAAATCCACCCAGTGTTTTTTTTAAATCTACTAAAATCTTTACCCCTTTCTTAAATCGAGCCGATCTCAGATGCCTGTCTGTGTGACATCACAAAAACAAGCCCCGCCCACAATCGTTTTATTGACAGTAGCGTTTCAGCACAGACTGAACTGGTGTCTTACCCCGCCCTGTGTGAGCTGTCATCAGTCCACCATTGTTTCACCGCCGGAGCAGATGTAGACAAGAATGACTCCTAAGCGATTGAGATATTCTGTTGTTGGATGTAATAATGAACATGGCAGTAGTCATTTACTCCTGACGTCTGTGCCGCTGAAGATGCAGTGGATTACGTTTGTTTTTGAAGGGGATGTGCCCCCGATCTACATAAATGCGTCTATGTTCGCTCGAATCATTCGTGATCCAGCTTCACCTACAGAAGAAGTGAGTATAAGGTTTTTTAATGTATCTTTGCAAATCGCCTTTCCTAATAATGTGCTTATTAGCAAGTTTCACGATGATTGTGGCTTAAGTAAACAGTCCCTCAGAGAGCAGCTCAGAAGAGAGGGGCGGGGTCAGCAGAGCTCATTAACATTTAAAGGAAAATGCTACTAAAACGGCTTGATCTGAAAGAGCTGTTTTTGACAGGGTAAAAAA